TTGACTTAACTGGCGACGACACATTTTATTATTATAATATTCATTATTTAGTTAAGCCAAGCAAGCATATTACACTATATAGAAGAAATAGAAAAAAAATTCTTAATGGTTTTATTTATATTTTTTTGTATAAATAATTAAGTTCTATGTATTGAGATTAGTAGTAAAAATGTGATTTTATTTTTTTGTTTTATTTTTGTTAATAATTTTAACAATTGGTAAAACAACAAGAATAACAAGATACGTTAAAAGTGAAAGACCACAAAAAAAATATATTTGAAAATGCGGTTGCAAATTATAAAATCTTTTATCATTTTGTTGATAATATATTTAATTTTTATCACAAGTAATTCATGTGCTACAAGAGCAAGAAGAAGAATTGGTAGAATTAAACAACCAAAAAGAGTTAGAAGACCGAAAATAAGAAGAAATAGTCCAAGAGTAGTTGTACCAAAACCAAAGGGTTCACGATATGCTCAAATAACGGTATTAGCTCTATCAAATACTACAATTGATAAGTTAGTAACTTGGAGATCAGAAAAATATTGAGATATATTAAATAAAAATAGAAAGGTTACAAATCAATATAAAGAGGGCCTTTATGTTGAAAAAATTAGAAATGGTCAAGTACAATATTCTCCAATTCATAAATTAATTGAAATATTACCAACATCAAGATTTAGATCTAGATCTGAAATTACTAAATAAAATAAATTAATATATGAAATATTAAATTAGAAACTTCAGTATAATGATAATTTTCACTATATCCTGCACTATTCTCTGTATCATCTACCACTTATAATTTTGGTAGATAAAGACATACATAACTATAAAATTACTAAAAAGAGTAAATTGATAGTATGCAAGTAATTTATTATTTATATTAATTTAGTAATATATTTTGAATAAATTGAATACTTTATAAATTTATATTATCAAAATAAAGATAAAAGAATATTAAATTTTCTTCATAATCATTATGTTTATCACTTAAAATTTTGTTTATCAAAATAAAAAAAATATTTATCTAATAAAAATTTATCTTATTAAAAAAAATTTTTAAAATGTTTAATAAAATCTTTTTTATTATTGCATTTATAGTCCTTTTAGGACTATTTATTACATATCTTTTTGCTAGTGAATATCAAGAAAATATTTACTATTTTTTAAAAAAATCTTATTATTCAGATTCTTTTTTTTTATTTCTGTAGTTATTATTAATATAATATTTTGGAATACGTTAATTGAAACTTTTCAGAATGATTTATTTTTTAAAATTGTTCATTATCACCTCTATTAGAGATAACAGATTTTCTAATATTGAGTAAACCTGGGTCTTAAGAAGCTTTCAAGAGTATACTATAGAAGGAATTTGGGTTGAAAAAATGATTATTGACAATTGAGAATCTTATATAAAAATAGTTTTATATTATATATAGCTATATAATCATATTGATTTTTTTATATAGTATTAATTTAAAATTAAAATAGAATATTAAAAAAAAACAAATATATTATATATTAAAATATTTATGAAGTTGACAATAATTATCTTAATATATAATATATTTGTTTTTTTTAATATTCTATTTTAATTTTAAATTAACACTATATAAATATTATTATTACAATTAATTTTAATGTATATTAGTTAAAAGAAATTAAACTATGTTTAATAGATAATAAAAATATATAAACTTGAATATTTATTTTATCTATTAAAATATATAAATACAAAATCTATATAAAATAAACCAAAATTTAACTATATGTCATTGGTATTAATTAAAAAAAATCTTGTAAACGTTATAAGATACAAAACCTTCTCATTGAAAAAAATTTTACCATAAAGCAGAGAAAATATATTTTATCAGCATATTAAAATTGTCAAATAAAAAAATTAAAATATAGTAAAGAAAGACCATATTCTGAATAAAAAAGACGTAATATTAAATGTATTGCCTCTGCTAAGATTAAAAAGAAAGGTCCAACTAAAAAAGAACAAAAGAAATATTTATTATTTGAAAATATTTTAAATTGATGACTATTTTTTTTATTTTACTTTCTATTATTGTAATTTTAAAATACAATTTATAAATAAAAGTTTATTTTTTAAAACAAGTAAAAAATGCTTCTCAAAGATTTTGTTTATATTTACATCTCCAACTATATTCTTTAAAATATAGTTCAATAATTCCAATTCTTCTTTTATCTTTTGGAATTAATAATTTTAAAGCATTCCAAGTACCTTCTATTGTATTTGTATGAATTCTTCTAAGTTTTTGTTGTTGAAATATTCATTTCAAATAATTAATTCGAATATATTTAATATTTAATTTATCAAGATTATTATAACTTTTTTAACAATCACTATATACTGTAGAACCAGATTTTATATATCTTTTAATAAATTTAAAAAGAGTTAAATAATTACAATTATTAACAACTTCAAAATAATATTTTTTATTTTCAGTTCTTTCAGTAATTCTTACAATCCAGAAATCACTAAATTTCGATTCATCTATTTCAACAATAATACCAATTCCTCCAAGTATTTTGTCATTTATATTTAATGATTTAATAACTAATTTTTAAAAAATTTAGTATAACTAGAAATTGTTTCTTTATAGTATTTTGTAATAGTTAAAATATTTGTAAAATGAATTTTAGCTATCCAAAAATAGGCTAATAAAATGATATTATTACAAAGAATATGATTTTTAGAAAATAAAGAATCTGTATAAATAGAAACAGATTTTTTATAGTTTTTGTTAATATATTTAAATCTTTTTTTATATATGTATAAATTACTATTACAAATATCACAAGTAGTTTTTTGTTTAATTAAATTTTTATTAAATAAATAATTTATACAACTATATTTATTAAAAAGAATATTATTTATTTGATTGATTTTTAGAATCATTGTGTATAAAAAAAGTATTATTTATTATATAAAAAAAAAAGAAACATGACTGTTATTTAGAAGTATGTTGTTTATTTATATTTTTTTTAAACTAATTATTTTAATTTTTAATAATTCTTTAATAAA